AACTGATATTACACGGTATTATGCAATTAACATGATTAAATGCAATATTTATAAAAATTTTTATGTGCGTTAAAAAAATTGATGATAAAATTATTGGAATATTGCAGTTTTAAAATAAAGCAATTTTTTATTTGGGCAAGAATTTGAACGAAAATATTTTATAAGTATTACTTACATTTACTGGTGTTCCAATGCGAAAATTAGCATTTATAAGAGAAAATTATAGGAAATACAAATTTAATTAGGTGTTAAATTCATATACACAATTTGGTTGGAAGCAATACACTCTCTCATATATAAGTAAGATTAATTCTAAAGTTCTTTTTAGAATGACTACTTAAAGGAGCATAACAACATGTATACTAAAATTATAAAACACCCCGACTATTAAATAGAATTCTTTACAAATTTTCATTGCGATATGACTGCGATCTTTAATCAGTACAAATTAAAATTTATATTTATTTCAAATTTGGAAATATAAAGAATACAAAATTAATTTAAGAAGCAGCCGATATTTTCTTTGGATTGTGATTAAAATCTTTAATTTTAATTAAATCAAATCAAATTTTTAAAATTAACCCGAGAACTTTTACTTCAATTATGATAATATTTTTAAAGTTAATTCCACTACTGTACATTTAGAAAACTTTCATTCGGACACACAAAACTGGTTTCAATACATTTCTAAATGATTTGTAATACTTGAATATTTTTCGTGTCCCCCATAAAAATCCAATAATAATATTGACAGCTGTTGTAACTCATAAACATTCATTAATATAGAATAAATTCATTAAAAAAACATTTTCTACTTGCTCTTATCTTAATTATAGCTTAAAGAATAAATTTTTAAACAAACATTTTTTTTTGATTCAAATTCACAAAAAAATATCATTTCACTTTCAATATTTGCATATTAAACAAGTCTCTTTTTTTAAAAATATTTTAAATACCTGACAGGTTAGAAGTCTATTAGTATATATATATATATATATATATATATTAGATATTCGGACATACCTACAAGTATATATAATTGATCCATCAATATCAAAATTTGAAAGTAAAAGTATGTATACAAAGATATTGCCAATTAGCACAAAAAAATCAACTTCTTGAACACAAAAAAAAAATTCGAACCAAAATGACCTTAAAACCGTGTAATAAAAACGTTTTATAAATATTTCAAGTTTTTCTTATAGATGGTAATTAATTTGTTCGCTTTTTGTTTGTGTTTTTGTATTTTATTTTTTATAAATTAAGAATCTTCGATCTTCTTAGTTTAACAAACAAACAAAATTTCGAGTTTTAAAACAGATAAATTGGTTAGTAAACAAAAATTTCTCTTTCTCTACTGTAAGAGATAGTGAGAATTCTAAATTCCTGATTTTTATAGATTTCAAAGTTAACAGGATTAAAATATCATTAATCTCTCATATTCTAACTGTTATTAAACTAAAATTACTATTATTTTCCAATTAATTACATAAAATATAAAACATAGAAAAAAAAACAAACAATTCGCGTTTATGTTTTAATTATAAATACCTGTTATAATTAATTAAATTAGTTATTTTTAATTCCGATGAAATCATATGCTTATAAAATTTTGTTAATTTACTGTTAAAAACTAAATGCTTTTGTAATGGCCTTAACTCTTATTTATTTTAAATATTTCATTAATTTGATCCATTAATTGACTTTTATTATTTTTTTTTTTTTTTGAATTTGTGAGTACTCGTGTAAAATACCCATAATAAATAATTTATTTTGTGCCAATAGGCATAAAGGTATTAAAATTTTTAAGAAATATGACAATGGTATTAAAAAAATTTATTTTATTTTAATTTATTAATTTTTGATAATAAAATAATAATAAATTTCATTTTTAAAATTTTAATTATTTTTAAATCTTAAATATTAAAAAATAATTATTTTGATTATCCAGAAATCACTCAGAAATTAATGTTATTAAGACGTTGATAGTAAATACAAACTTAATTTTGAAATACAAAAAAAAATTTTTAATCTCTTAAGATGTTGAAAAAATAAATAAATACAAAATTTATTTGCAAAATATTTTTTAGCCATCACATATGGTAAACAACATAATTGAGGGTTTTCTGATGAGTACGAGATGTAAAAAAAAAATGCCTAAGGTTAAATTAAATATTTTTATATTTTGATGTTATATTTTGATATTATAATTTTTTTGGATTTAGATTATTTATTTGTTTATATAAAGAAACCGAAATTTAAAGATTAATACAATGATTTTCAGTAATTCAAATGAGATTTCATATTTTAATAATTTTCCAAACTTAGGTAAAACGATGAGTTAAGGCCGAAATATTTTAACTTAAATTTGTTTTTCTTTGAACTGAACTCGAACCAATGACCTACCGGTTTCTAGATAAACGTTCTATAAACTAAGATACAAAAGTATGAAGAAATTATCAAGTATGAATAGGGAGTTAGAATAAAATTATTGAGTTTATTATATTTAACACGTTTATCGCCATGTCAGTCACATGCGTCTGATGCTAAAAAGTTCTACATAAGGCCTGTCTGACATATATGTCGTTTGCATTATACCTTTTGTATATTGTTGTATCTTCTTTGAATGATTCAGGCTTATATGTTAAGACTGACATGGCTTATCGGGAAAAAAAGTTTTAATATAGGGCATATATCGTGTTAGTCATATATGTGTGACATAAAAACTAGTGTTTTTCCGGGAATTTTCGCAAAAAAAAAAAATTTCTGTGATGCATTAAGTTTCCCTGATACATTTTTAACCAAATAACCTAGTACAAAGTTACCATGCCCATGTGAAAATTTTTCTCATATTATCGTGGCAATTAACGTGTTAATATTATAAGAACGATATTTTACACATTGTTTTATTACAAATCATTGTAAGATATAGAAAAACCAAGCAAAATTATTATTTTAAAATTTTTAAAAGATATAAGAACATTATATTTTATTTTGTCTCCCACCTGAAACTTAAGAAGTGTACAAAATGTTTTCAAAAATTAAGAAAATTCTTTAAAAATTTTCAAATATAATACGAATAGTAATAGTATTCACATATTCACGTAATACATATATTAGTTTAATGTCTTCTTTTAAAATATTCTGAAATTCTGTAACTATTTCTGTAAACCCTTTATTTAATTTAATGTAAATTTATCTCTATAATATGTAAAACAATGTTATCTAATGGTAATGTAAAATAATGGTATATTTTAAACATCTTATTATCTTATTGTCGAACGAGAAATATTCTCGAAAATTTATGTTCTGAGAAAGATTTTATTATCATTTTTAGACTTTTGTAAATTTGTAAACCCGGGGTGCACTGCAACCACGTTTAAGGATCTATTGTGCCCCTAGGGCCCAGCCGCACAGCACCCGCTCGAGATCGCCCTAATTTATTTTAGCAAAATGTGAGGCGCGAAGGACCGCAACAGGATTCTTTTATTCAAGATTTTATTAATCCTCATAAATTAAATATTTTAAAAAGAAAACGCGTTTTGAAATAATTATAATTGACAAAATTAACACACTCATATTCATAGTGATCAATTGACTTTTGAAGCAATTCCAATTCAAGTTTCAGCAATTAAAATTAATTAATTTTTTCCAATAGGGTTTTATATCGAGCTTTGGTTATAAAATCCAAATTAAATAACATTATAATGGATTTTGTGAAAAAATTCCAATAAATTTAGATCAATTAATTGGTTTTTATAAATATTAGCACATAATCCCTTAAAATTATAAAAATTTTACTGTAAAATCATTATCATTGTCAAAACTACATTAAGCAACAAATTATTGTTGCATACTTTTAGGATAAGGACAAAAATTAAAAGAACCTTTATTATTAATGGTTATATTCAACGAAGAGTTTAAATTAATCATTTAGGTGGGTTTAAACAATTAATAAAATTCTTTGATGGTAAAACGTTTAAGAGGTGCTAAACGAGGCTAAAACCAGGTTTCAGGAAAATACGGTTCTGTAAACTGGAAGTTTTGCTAATTTTCAATAGTATAAAACTTTAAATTGGAAGAAAAGCCACTAGTTTTTAAATTTTATATAGTTTTTGATTAATAATAAGCCAACTTACTCTCACTACTATCCAATAATAATCACTATACAAATAACTGCGAAACTATAATAAGAAATAAAATAGTATTTAAAATCCAGAAAATATTTTGATCTTTCACAATATTAAAATTCAATATTTTTTTTAAAATTAATTAAAAATAAAATAACAATATTGGTGTTTAAACCAAAAAATTATATTATAAATTTATGATCCGACCCACAAAATATAAAATACCTAGGAACTAATTCATAACTAATTCATATGAGAATATGAACTTAAATCACATCATAATCTTATAATTAATTTTTAATTTTTTTTTTATATAACTTCAAAATTAAAACATTATTCTGAATTTTCGATTGCTAATAGCTATCAATTACTAAGAACAAAAGAGAATACAAATCAATTCGAATAATGAGTAAGTTTTAATTAACTATAGCAGAGGTTTTCCTATAAAAAAATTCTACCATAAATTAATTTTTTTTTTTGATCTCTTAATGATAATCTTCTAAAAGTATTTTTTAACTTCTTAACTACACCCAAAAAAAAAAAATTTCGAATGATTAAAAAATATTTTTCTACTATAATTTAAATCATTTAGATTTTTTTAACAGGATTTTAACAATTAAACTAATTTACTCGTATACAAACATTTTTTTTCACATAATATAAAAGTATTATATTATCGGAATCAGGAAATTCTCTCATAAATAATTGATTAAGTTACTGTAAATATATAGTTGTATTTTTGCTTTTTTATTCTTTAAATACACAACTAGTACAATTAGAATTAGCCTGAAACTTATCATCATTTCTATAGAGAAGAAGCATAATCTTATATAATATTAAAAAAAAACAAAAAGAAAAACAAAAACTTACCTTGAAATTGCTAAATTACTGGGCGCTGAACCAGCTATAAAAAATTGTGAATTCAATTTTTTATGAAAATATTCCCAAAGTATCATAGAAATATTTGGTTTCGGTGACCACCTATTATAAAAAGGTTAAATAAAGCGTTTAATATTTTGTTTTTTTTTTTTTTTTTACTTTTCGAAGCTTTTAAATTTTTGTTATTTTAAATGTGTATGTTATACACACATGTAATAATTAAGAAAAAATATTATAAGCAGACGAAATTGATACTCAGTTTAAGACTAATTCACAATAAACGCATATTATAATACAAAAATAAATAAAAGTGGCGAAAAACAAAAAAAAAATTAAGAATGATGAATGAATTAATTTTGGTGTTATTTTCCAAAAAAAAAAAAAATGTTAAATATTTTAAAAAAATGAAATGAAATAAAACAAACAGCCATAACAGCTGTAAATGATCGCACTTACCATTCTAATAAAATTGGCATTAAATTGCATAAAAATATTCTTGTCTGTTCTTCAGATGGATTCAAATTTAAAAATTGCTCAACAACCGGTTCCAACAAATCAAAATTTTCAACAACCTTTAATAAATAAATGGAAGAAAAATAAAAAATTTATTTTAGTTTTTTCTTAAACTTTAATCATAAAAAGGTGCAAGAAGTTCATATATGTAATTTAATTATTGAGTTTTTCAATAGGAACATGAACAATTTTGTATTTGAAATAGAAATGAGTTTCGATATTGATTCAGTTAAAATCCCAAGTCATTTTCGGATTTCGGGTCAAGAGGTAATGGGCGGGTTACGGTTGAAAAGATTAAAAAAAAATATGGCTTTTATAAATATACGTTTATAAATATGCGTTTTTTTCTTATTCCATAATATGTATGGAAAGGTATTATAAGTTTTCCAGTCCATTTGTAGCACCCAGAAATAACGGTCTTAAATATAGATGCAAGTCTGTTTGTATTTTCTTCTTTCTGTCATGTAATAGCGATAACTCAAAATTTAATTGACTTAAGTTTACCAAATTTTAGGAAATTGTTTATTGTAGTAAATGCCAGAGACCTATTTGAATAGGATGTTATAAAACTTCAAAACTTTTAATAACAAGCATTTGCTTTATTAAATTAAGACTGCTTTATATGACAGAGCTCGCTGAAATTCCTTGACTCATTGTGGTAGCTGCCATACAACATCGAAAGTGATTTGCTACTATATTATGAAAAGAATTAAAACTTTAATGCTAAAATTTTTCATAAACGAATAAGATAATATGGTCAATATTTTTGGTAAAAGTCTTTGCTATGGAATTAGTTTGTGGGATAACTGTCATATTTGTATGAAATGGCACTGGACATAAAAAAAAACAAGATGAAATTATTGTACAACTCTCAAATTCATTCATTCCGTTAGAGTATCACAGATTTGAAAAGGTGAACTCTATCTATTGTCGATTTTATTTGAAATTGTTAGGTTCGTATTTAACAACCTTTTAAAAACAAAAATTAACAAGAGATACTAGTAAAATGAATTAATCTGCTATTATTTTTGTGTTACAATATACACGTACTTTACCCGTAAGATATATACATATGTGTACCTATGTGTATTTATGTATGTATGTATAAAAGAGGTTTGATTACGGTAGTTATAACGTTTTTATACTTAAATTATTTTTTGCTGTTAAATGTCAGATTATTTGTTTTTTTTTTTCAATTTTTTTTTTATATACGTACATAATAATTTAAAATAATAAACTAATGTTTGTGTTAATAGGTACATAAGTATTATTATATAAATGTACTTATGTTAAAATATTAAGTATTAAACACACTAATTGAGATATTTGCCGTAAAAAAACTTTGTTTTTTTTTAAATTATTTGAAGATTTTTGAACATTGACAAGGTTTTTTTTAACAGATTTTCAAAATATTATTTGTTAACATTATCATATGTTGGAATTTTATATGAAATTTTAACAGCAGTGTTGAATTTGATTGAAATATTCTATATGATAAACGAGAGTTTGTGTATTTCTTGAATTTTAGGTTTAATCACCTTATTAGTGTTCTTTAATGTATAACAGTCATAATATTGATCTACACATGCATTGTAACCGTATATATATATATATCGCAAGGATTTTCAGAAAAAATTTTTCAAAATAAAATAAATTTCAGGATTAAATTTAAATGTACATTAAAGAAATTACCCTAGAATGTGATGGACCATCATAGACTCCATTTGTTTTATAACCTTGTAATCTAACTAATCCTTTTAGTAACCATAGTGTAAATTCAGGAATTTTTTCTGATGAAATATCAAAATGGTCTGTAATTAAAAAATAAAAAAAAAAATAAGAAAACAAGAAATACGTTATTATATTTTATTGTTTCTTCCATTCACTTTTAAAGTCTTTAACAACATTCACTTTAAAAGTTTTCAAATATTTTTTGTAATATTTTAAATATTGCATTAAATTTCTATAACTACTATAATATACATTGGAGGGGCAGTATATTTTATGTATATGTACGTATATAATATGAAATTTTGTTCAATTATTGATGATTTTTTGATTCAAGGTAATCTTTCATAATTCACATATATGTTGCATACTGTGAGTAATTAGTAAAAATAAAAAAAAAATTAATCAAAAAAAAAGTGCCATTAAATTTTACTACACTGCATTTTATTCATAAAACATTGTATAGGATATTAGGATTATCCATGTGGGCAAAAGTGGGTACAATTTTAATCACTTTTTACTAAAATAAAAAGAAATTGCAATTATAGATTGTAAATTAATCATAAACATTAAATAAGAATTAAACCATATTACAATAAAGTACATTTATTGTGTAATTGTGTTACACATATTTGAAGGAGAATGGCAAAAATAAAATTGTTAATAATTGTCTCAGAAATTCTACTACTAACTCTTTAGTAGAACTAAAGAGTTAGTAGTAGAACTACTAACTCTTCTAAAACACTTTTCTAAAACTAGAAAATTTGTGGTCCATTTCCCGCACACCGATTTTTTCGACAAATCGTCAATAAGAGCTTTTATATAGTATTTTACGAAACTCGTTACCTACTTTTTATCGTTCTATTTGTTCGACTAAAAAAGTATGTTCTCACAAATTCGACGATTTAAGTTAACGTCGGATCCTCATTTGATTCAGTTATGTCTGTTATACGTCCGTCTGTCTGTCTATCTGTCTGCTATAGCAATAACTCTTTAAAACTCATAAAGTAAGATTAACTAAATTTTCATCAATTACTAAGAGTGCTTTCTTAAAGAGCCTTATTTAATTTGGGTACGATTAAAACAGTGGTCTTAGTGTAAAAAAATTTTGCTATATCTCAGAAATTTCAAAGCCTATATACGAGTACAGTATTCAAATTTTGCATAAACAGAAGCGGTAAAGGTCTACTGTTTTAATGAAATGTCGTTAATTTCTTATGTATATTAAAAATTCTTGCAGAAGCTGGAATACAATTCTAAAAATTGTTTGATCATATCCCATAAACGAAAACGGCTGTAGGACTCGAATATGATATAAATTAAAGATAATACGAATCTAGTAGATTTTGATTCTGCTTGTATAGGTGGTTCTGACAATAACGGTAATACAAAAATTATTCATGTCTCAAAAACTATAATATGAGTGCGGTAATAGGACCATTATTTCAACAAAATTTAGCAGTGGTTGTATTGATCTTACAAGATTTGCTAAAAAATTAAAAAATCATATTTTCGTTTTCTAACGCTCATACAATACTAAAAGTTTTAGTATTGCAATGCCATTCTAAATAAAACAATTTCTTTCATTATTGGGAAGCATTCAAATGGGTATCATGGCATATCGCATGGTCAAATCTATCTTCAATAATTTTTCTTAGAAAAATTTCCATTCAAATTGCATCGTATATTTTGAATTATTGCGCATATTAATTTTCAGAATTTTTCGTTTTGATTAACAATATTAATGCATCATTTGTTACCACCTTATTGTTACCGACCGTATTGTGTAAACAATAGGTAGGTTATGTGATGGCAACAAATTTTACATATCGAGTTTTCGGTGGGAACGTACTTTTCCATAGTAGGGAAGTGTAATTAAACTATTTTTAGCAACCTGTCGGTCTGTCGGTCTGTCGGTCTGTCGGTCTGTCGGTCTGTCGGTCTGTCGGTCTGTGTGTGCACGCGTGTATCTCAAGTTCGGCTGAACCGATTTTGATGAAATTTTATATGTAAGTTTGTTTCCACCATGGCACGGATCGATCAACTTTTGGTATATATCAGGCCTCGGGAACTGCACTTTTTAGCGGGCCTGTTTTACATTTTTGAACATTTTGAAGAAAATATTCAACCGATTTACTTGAAATTTTATATATAAGCTCAGCTCGGCTGTCCGCAAAAATTCGTATGTTTTGGAATAAATCAGGCATCGGAAACTACACGTTTACTACGGGCCAAATATACATTTTTGTGTATATAAAGAGAAATAATCAACCGATTTCGTTGAAATTTAATATATGAACTCCTCGTATTAAAACAATGAACATATAAATTTTTTGGAAAGATCAGGGCTCGAAAACGGATTTGCGGGCCGATTTTATATTTTTCGCCATTTTGAAGAAAGTATTCAACCGATTTACTTGAAATTTCATATATAAGCTTTGCTCGATCATACGCAAAAATTCCTAACTTTTGGAAGAAATCAGGCATCAGCAACTGGGCGTTTACTACGGGCCAAATATACATTATTGTGTATATAAAGAGAAGTAATCAACCGATTTCATTGAAATTTAATATATGAATTCCCCGTATTAAAACAATGAACATGTAAATTTTTTGGAAAGATCAGGCATCGGCAACTAGACGTTTACTACGGGCCAAACATACACTTTTGTGTATATAAAGAGAAATAATCAACCGATTTCATTGAAATTTAATATATGAATTCCTCATATTAAAGCAATGAACATATAACTTTTTTGGAAAGATCAGGGCTCGAAAACTGATTTGCGGGCCGATTTTACATTTTTCACCATATCCACAGAACAAATTGATGGAATTTCTTGAAATTTGATATTGAGTTCTGGTTGTTACCGAAACTAACTGGCGAGCATTTCAGGGAATTCGGGTAGCACAAAGCGAAACTCTACTAAGAGCCAAATTTACATTTATAAATTATCTAAGTATGTTAACTATAAGCTTACTAATGTCCTAAAAATTGGAAAGAAGTATTTAACAGACATTTTTATAATATTCTGTAACACTTTCATTTAACTAGACAATACACAATGCGGTCGGTTATGTGCTGACCACATCAGATTTTTGTGGTTTGTTTTGTGCCTAGTTTTATTAAAATAAGATAATTAATTACTACTTGTCAAGCTACTGTAAAAACTAAATTAATGAACTTGCTTTACTTAAAAATTCTTTTATTTTGAAAAAAAAATTTTTAATAAAACCTTATTAATTTTATTCAGTTTTAATTTATTAATTCTTTTTTATATGCCAATTTAATATTTAATTTAAAATATCATGTGTATAAATATAATATTTAAATTATTGAGTGTTATAAATTAATTGTGCCTCATTTTTAATTATTTATTATTCCAATATATTTTAATTCATAAATACTATATAAATAAAATTAAACAAAATTTCAAATAAATCTTAAAAATCCGTCTATTAATTTTTTCACAATAATTTTTCATTTTTCTTATAATTTAAATATACTCTTTTTATATTAAAATTATTTTATTGAAATAAAAAAAAATGTATTGTTTTTAAAAGTTGTTAAACTTCTTTATAAAAATAACATTATGCTTTCATTTCCTCTATAATCTATTATTAATTGAATATTTTTTATATATATGCAATTATATATAGAAAATAGTTAAAAAACTGGTATATATTTTAAATAAAAATTTTAATGTATAAATATTTCCAAAAATTATTATGTTTTTTTGTATACACACACTTGTGTATTATTTTTCATTATTTAAATTATAATTTTAATAATAATACTCAAAAAATAAAACTTTTAATACCAGTTTATTTTTTAAACATGCGTACACATACATTTATGTCACATGTTAAGGCTTTAATAATTATGCTAAATAAAAATATTAAATCAAAAATTAAAAATAAAATTCATATGTAATACACGCATTATTATTTTGTTAATATCGGAATATTAAAATATTCTTTTTGCCACTTAATAATTTTACACTGAATAATTTTTGAATATGAATACTAATTAACACTAGAACTACCAATGTTGATGTAAATATTCATTTAAATACAAGTTTGTTTTCACATTATTATGACAATTATTGTGATTTTTATTTATCAGTTTTGCATAAATTTATACGAAATTTATGCGAAATCGTAAATTTCTAATTAAAATTCTGCCGTAATTAAAACTATACCATAAATTTTTAATTTACGATATAAGACACTCTTTGCGATAAGAATTTAATTTCTTTTACAATTCTTGCTTTCGATGAAGCTTTGATGCAACTATATTGGGTTGTTGAAGAAATAGAAGATCAAAAGTTAACATGTTGCAAAATTTTGAGGTGTAACAGTTTGGCAATATGACGATATTGTTATGTTTTAATAAAATGAAGAATGTACCGACAGTTGTTGTTAAAAATTGAAACTCATTTACCGTTTGAAAGAAAAGTTACTTTAGTTTTGTTTGACAAAAGGACGGTTAATTTGAAGGGTCGATTTTAACCATAAAATATTTTTGTACAAATAAACAATAACAACGTGCAATTGTGTTGAAGGAAAATGATAATTCGATAAATTAATTTTTCTATAATTGCTTGTAGCTTGTTTGAGGGGTCCAAAAATTTCGTAAGCAGACTAAAAATCTGATTAAAACTAATAATAAATGTCAAAACTTTTAATTTAGAGTGTATTGGTAGCTCTTGTGTTAAATATTTTTCTAGTTTGCTATACGTTAATTTACGTTAGAATACGTAATGTTTTCGTCTGCTAATTAATTACTTATTTCCTAAATTTAAAAGTACATTTTGTAATAAATTTGATGGGTGTAAAATTTTAAAAACGAAATATTTCACATAAATACCGGTTTGAGTCAAGCATAGCAATTAATGTAAGACATTCTATGGTTGTGTATTTGTTTTTAAATTTGCTTTTATTTTTTGAATAGACATTTACGTATACGCACACACTTATATATACATAAATTAAATTTTCTAAATATAATCAAGAACATCAACTTGTCTATAAAAGTTAAAAATGATTTTTTTTATTATATTAAAATTGATTTGTTTTTTTT